GCGGTCGTAAATAAATAGGTTAGATAGCCCTAATAATAAAATGGAGATATTTTGTAGACGTTTGGGGATGATCTGAACCCATCGGTAATGAAAGCCCGGGTCGGGTTCGGGGAAGTTTCGGACACGGGCAAGGGGTCGATGCACTGTGCAAAGAGACTCCGGTTTAGGCAAGAGGGAAAACGAAGAACAAGATTGGTCTCGGAACGGTCAACAAAAGCAAGGGGTGGGGGGAACGCGGCAACTACGAGGGGATGCAAGTTTGAAAACAATGACGGCAACAGAGTGCCGATGCAATGCGAATGATGCGATGATGAATGCAACAAACAAATAAATAACACAACTGACACGCAAAAACATGGAAGGCATCTGGAGCGTCGGTCTTGGGGCGTTACACAGGACATCTACAAACATATGGGAACAGAATTGGCTACCACGTGATGCAATGCTTCGACCATACCGTTGCTTAACAGCCCATCGCCCCATCATGGTCTCGGAACTTATAGAACCCACAACAGCAGCTTGGAACAAGGAACTTGTCACGACGACGTTTATGCCAATGGATGCACAAGTAATACTTGGAATCCCGCTATGCACTCGTAATATGCCAGACTTTTGGGCCTGGCACTATGACAAAAAAGGGAACTTCTCTGTTAAATCTGCTTACAACATGCTGGTAGCAACAAGACAGAGGCGGGAGGCTTGGTTAGAAGGAACGACAGGTCCGTCAAGTTCTAGAGCAGCGGAGGGGTCATGGAAATCTCTTTGGAAAATTAACGTCCCGGGTAAGATTCGCATGTTTTTATGGAGACTCTCCAAACAGTCTTTGCCAACGAACGATGTCTGTGCACATCGGCACATGACAGATTCGGGACAGTGTGGACTGTGTGGAAGTCAAGATTCGTGGCGCCACTCGCTGTTGGAGTGCTCATCCTCATGGAGTATATGGGCTTTGACAGACGAAGAGGTAACACATAAAATCACAGCTACAACTGAGCCCAATGCGAAGAATTGGTTATTCACCTTGATGGACTTACTCTCCCACAACGAGTTCATACTCATGACGGTCACTTTATGGTCAATATGGCATGCTCGCCGAAAGGCTATTCATGAAGGAATTTCCCAAAGCCCCCAAGCGACACACATGTTCGTCCACCGCTTTATCGATGAGCTAGGAGTACTGAGCAATAAGCAACAAAGGCCCAGGATAGCCACCGGGACCCCGGCGGGGCAACAACAAAGACCAAAACGGCCACCACTAGGATTTTGCAAAATCCACGTCGATGCTGCAATTCGATCACGTGGGGGTTCGGCGGCGGCGGTCTGCAGGGATGAGAATGGTAACTATGTTGGAGGCTCGGCTCTGGTCATCGAAGGAACCCTCGATCCAGCCACTCTGGAAACGATCGCATGTCGCGAGGCAATGGCGCTAGCGGAGGACCTCAGTATCAGAGAGTTTGTTATCGCATCAGACTGCCGGCAGGTAATCCAGGACATCAACATGGGTACACGAGGAGGATATGCGTCAATTATAAACGAGATAAACCATAGAGCTACTACCTTTCACTGTATTTTTACTTTCGAGAGTCGTGCTGCAAACTATGAAGCACATAACTTAGCTAAGTTTGCTTTGTCAAAAGGTCTGGGACGCCATATGTGGTTTGGCCAGCCCTATGACCAGAGATGTATCCCACTGCATGTGGATTTTGATGAATAAAGTGTGTTTTACCCCTCAAAAAAAACTTGTGGCGGAGTCGGGGAGCTTTCTACGGTGTGTGCTCTCGGATCCATGGATTCGTTGAGCTTTGGCGATCTAGGTATGGTTGTTCCCGGTTGGAGGAGCACATGGATCTGTGATTTCGGCTTCAACTTTGGCAATCTTTCCACCAAGGCGATGATCCAGCAGGATCGGTGCTTCGATGACTTCCCATCTGCGTGAACTACAAGGTCGTCCTAACTCCGGTTTGGGAGGGACAGCGGCAGCGCGCCATCAGCACCTCGGGGTGGAAGACGATGGCCAGTTTCCCATGGACGGTGCTGTAATTTCTTCTTTGCTCGAGGGGTGCTCTGTAATGTTGTGTGCTGATTAATAGATCTATGCGCTTTTTTTGCAAAAAAAGGAAAAAAGATCAAAGATACAAAGCAAGATAAATGAGCCTAGCTCAACAAGACTTAAGTCTCCACACAAGAAGCAACTATCGGCGAATAGTAAACGCATAAAAACAGGTCATACAAACAAGAGCGGCACAACAAGGGGTGCGTGCGCCTTTAGCGTTGTTTGTATCTGAGGTCGCGTTATTCGTCATCCTGGATGAGGAATAGTTATTCTTCACCCCCTCTCTATTTTGACATTAATGCACTGTATTTTTAACGTTTCGTAAATTGTCTTATTTCATACAAAAAAAGGAAACGTAAGAAAAAATGTACTTGCCATAAATAATATTTTATGTTACATAAAATTACGAATGTAAAAACATAGTGTAAAACATACATAAAATGTGATTTTTCTGGTCTTATAACCTATATTTTCGTTTTTTATACCGATCTTACATATTGAATCAATACGCATATAACTATTTATATTGTAAACGTAATTTATTTAGGAAGCGATCGTAATAATTCCATAAACACCTTCAATTAATCAAACTCAGTTCCCTTTCACTTTCTTGATCACAAACATTCGAATTTTGGCCCTCTGTTTGCCCAAATTCATCACCTGTACCTTCTGCAGTAGCCCTGAGATGCTTGGAAACCCCAGTAACAAGGAACCCGCGCGTAAAACCGAGGCGGCGCCTCTTCAGCTTGGCCACTCCTCGCAGAGCCTGCGTCCCCAGGTCAACAGCGAGCACCGTCGTCATAGCTCCGTCGCTGGTGGCCTCGGCCAGCATGTAAACAACGTCGTCGTCCTCGTCAGCGACACCCATGGTAGGCAAAGCCATGCGAAGACGCCCCAGGGACGAGACCCCCTCGGCGGCCTTGTGGGCTCTGCCGCTCATGAGCTTATGCAGCAGCCTGTAATGCCTCGCGACGTCGACGGGGACGCCGACCCTCGCCGACCAGACGGAGCACCGCTGCCGCCAGTGGCTCCACGAGGTGGCCGGGATGGGCATGCTCCAGGTGGTGGCCTTCCAGGTGTCGTCGACCAGCATCGTCACCTCGACGTACTTGATGGCGTCCTTCCGCTCGTTGACGGCGATGTCACGTAGGTAGTAGGGGCAGCGCTCGAGGCACCAGGTCCAGTCGCCCTTGAGGGGCGACGGCAGCGGCATGTCGCGGAGCACTGGGGCGGGGCTCTCGTCGAGCACGTCGCAGAGGAGGATGCCTCGCCAGAGATCGACCCAGCCGACCGTGCCTTTGGCGCCGCCGAGCGTGATCACCTTGGTCGTCAGGTGGGACATGAGCATCTCCGACGAGGGAGGGGTCGCGTCCCTCAGCATCTGTTCCTCGTCCGCCCGCCTGGAGGTCCAGCTCCCCGGCTCGCCGTCGGGCCCCGAGCGGTACAGGTGGAGCTTGAACGAGACCATGCCCACGCGCTTGAGGGCGGCGACGGCGTACTCGCCATCGCCGCCGGCGCAGCTCAGCACGGCGATCTCGTTGTCCCCGAAGTAATGGGGAGCGGACTTGGGGAGCAGGTCCAGCGTGGGGCGCCGGGGGCGCGCCCTGTACACGAAGTAGTCGCTGAACATCTGGTAATACCAGCCATGGGGTCTGACGGGGACGCGGAGGAGGACCAGGTCGGCGTCCGTGCTGACGACCTTGGGCGCCAGGGACAGGTCGTCGGGATCCGGGCACGCGGCGAAGTCGACGGAGAAGTGCGAGAGGACCGGCGGGCGCGCGCCGCAGAGGGTCACCGCGATGGGATGGCCGGTGCTCGTGGTGGACGTGGCGGTGGTGGCGTTGCGGGCGGGGCCGATGCGGCCGAAGAGCTCGAGCAGGACGGAGCTCGGGACGGCGTCGCCCTCGCGGACCCCGAGGAAGGCGGCGGCGGCGGCCATGCGGTCCGATCGATCAGTCCGCGATCCAATGGCGGCGGAATTTGGGGGAGGGTTACGAATTTTCCTGCCCGAACTAAATAAGTTTTTTCTTTCCTGCCCCAGCTAAATAAGTTTTTTTTCTGCCATAGCTAAATAAGTTTTTTTTTCTTTTCTTTTCTTGCTGGGCTCAATCCGGACGACTCTGCAACGGTCCGAGCCCGTGGTCTGAGCCCGCATCCGTCTCACGCAGGCTCTGCCCCGCAGCGAGCAGAGACCAAGAAAGCCTCGCCGCCGTCGCCCCGTCCCCGACAACCACCTCTGAACATCGCTCGCCGGCCGCCGGGGAACACCAGCGGAGTGCACGACCAGTACAACGACGCGCTGATCTAGCGGGGGACAGCTCGACTCCCCACAACCAGCTATCTCGCCCCTCCGACCGACGCCTCAACCTCGACTCCTCCTCGCGGCCCGCCGTCTTCCACCCAAGGTCGACGAGATCTGCCTCCTCACCGTCAACACCACCACAGCCCACAGGTTTCAGCCTGGTAAGCGATCTTCCCCCTCCATCCTCCCCTTCATCCCCGTTTATTATTGGATCCTTTGGTTAACTTGGCTAGATCCGTCTGGTGTAGCACCTAGTTGCAGTTAGGGAGTAACTTTGGTGCCGAATTGCTGTTGGGGTTCTCGATCCAATTCTAGTGGGCAGCATATAAATAATTGTTTTCATGTCTGGATTCACAATCTTATCATCTGTATTCAGCTAGATAGATACAGCATGTACTTTTCTATGTATAAAATCCTATGTAATTATAGTTCACAAATCAATTAGCTATGTCCTAGAAACTGTCATGTACCAGTATCACAAGTCTGTGCCTCACTTCAGTAGGCAAAATATGAAGATAATGGATGCTGCCACAGTTTACCTGACGGCCTACTGCCTGCTCTAGGAAATCAGGACGTAAACTGGCTGCCGTAGTTCTCATTCACTCTTTTGATTGGTGGCAGACGAGCGCTAGCTGTGTGTCCTAGATGAAGCACATATTTAAGATCATCGCGGTGCTGGCAGCAATCTCCGCCGTCTGGGTTGCGCTCCTTGAAACCTCGACAGTCCCTCGCAGTTTTACTTGGTTGGTGAGTGTCATCAATTGTTTTCACTTCTAATGTCTTGAAGAAGAGAGGCTCCTTTTAATTAAGATGTTCGCTTCTGGCTTTTGTTGTTATAGCTTCCTATCTACTTGGTAGTGGCGCTTGGATGCTACGGCCTTTTCATGGTTGGATATGGGCTCATGTTCTTCCCAACCTGCCCTCAAGAAGCGGTGTTACTACAGCAGGTAGCTGACATAGTCCTAGCAGCCTAATTTTCCTTTTTGCCTACGCAGTCTTATTTCCATTTTGAAAACCAATAGTCTCTAGAACTTGCATCCTTTGTTATTTCCCGTTTTAGTTTCACACCTGTGCACTGTCTATTATATATCCTTTTCTCTTGTTTTTCTGCGGGCATAACGAGATTCAAGGTATTCTGCACAAAGAAAAGAACAGAAACTCTGAAAACTTCATAAGTTTATTTGTACCTTATGCGTATTATGGTATGGATTTTCATAATGGTCACTACAAATAAACCAAGCCACCTGATTTCCGAACTTTTATGTTTTCTGTACATTACATGTTTGGTTTCTTCCCATTTGTAATTCTTTGAGCTCGACCAACTATGCAGGATATTGTGGAGGCAAAGGAATTCCTATCAAAAAGAGGTGTTGATGTGAGCTCTGATTGAGGTCAATACCAATGATTTATGTTTCATGACCAGTTTGAAGCTTCCTGGATACCGTACAGAAAAAATTATGGCATTTCACCATGTCTAGATATTTGTTACTAACGCAGTTTTTGTGAGTGGCATGTTACAATTCTAGATTTTGTTAGTTCAGTGGATGGCCTGTCACGATACTAGTTATGTCAGGAAAACAGTGCGAGAACAACTAATTAATGGTTTGTTAGCAAGTCCATCAGTGTTCAAGACATGTCTGCTATTTTACAATCTGGTTTTCATCACTGGACGTGTATCCATTTTTTCTGCGCGGTATCATCTTCGGTGGTTAGCCTACCCCAACTTGTTTGGGGCTAAATACTTTGTTGTTGTTGTAGTATCATCTTTGGCGATGGTTCGAATTGCGAGTTCCTTTCATGGTTCAGTCCCGGTGTGCGGAATTTTCTGTCCAGTTCAGATTTCTTTCGTTTACTAAATCTGGAATGATTTCTTGAGTTTTTCAAATTCGACAAAGTTCTGAACCCCTCATGATTAGCAAAAGATCATTAAACCTTTACCAAAATAATTGTAGAATGAACCAGTATACACCCTGTGCGGTGAACCTTTGTCAACTCATAATCCTATTTTATACATGTTCAGTCACATGCCAAGTTGGCAGCAGACAATCAGTCGCCTGCTACCGTGAGGTAGCTGCTTCCGACGTTGTCTTGTTTGAGTCCGGTCCATCATCTTCTCCGGCACCAGGCAGTCTTTCCGCCGCTGTGCGGTTCTCTGTCGCTGCCTCCTCGTCAATTGCGCCTGTGACCTGCGCCGTGTCCTCGGCAGCCTCCCTGGAGCCCCTGCTTGGAATGGTTCTCAGTGGTCAGTTGTGAGCTTGTTACACTATCATCAGAGTAGATGCAGGTAGTAGCTATCATGAATTTTTGGAGGCAACACCAACTGAAGAATACAGTACTTGTATGAGTAGATGATGAGACCAATTGCAGTGCCAGCGAAAGCTACAAAGTACATCCAATCGACCTGCAGATCCCCCAAATTTGCGCCCATTGGTTCAGTTAGAGCCTTGTATAAAACACATGCATTTGACAGTAAACAGTTCAATTTTCAAAATGAACAGATGTGCTCAAACCTTCTCATGGTAAGCGAAGATACGGATTAGAACGGCCCACATGTCGGAGGTCAGAAGTGATAGGTTCAGCATGGTTGCTCCGCATATCTGAAACAATCAAATATGAACTGAATTCTACAAAAAATGTTTCAGGACAGTCATGAATTTGACCACAAGAGGATAGTGATCTGATCTACCTTCAGGATAATAGGTACTGTGGAGTAGAACAGGAACATTGCTAGCGCAAATCCAATAAAAGGGAGCACCTGAAAGGACACAGAAGGCCAGTGTCAAAAACTACATAATTTTGATTAACATTATCGCCGTGGTGAATGTCTAATAGCATGCTGCAATGCCTTGCAATTTGCTGACATCCACTGAAAGTTTGGATATTGCAAAGTTTCAGTTGGTTGACAGATGCTTAACGTTTTAACCTCTGATAAGATTTGAAAGGTTTTGTATGGCCCAACAACATTCCAATATGTTCATAATTCACTTGGTTTATGCTCTACTGTTAGTTGGAATCTAAAGTTCAGACAAGGAAACTACAATTGTCCCTAAAAAAAATATAATTGTCTATGGCTGTAGTTGGTTTAGTGTAATGCCCCTAAATCAGAATGAACGAAGCTCAGGAGACTCACTGCGCTGGCATTCCATTCTGTTGATCTAAGTTCTTCCCGCTCAAGAATGCTTCTGTTGTAATGTCAAGGTGTAGCATTCCAATTTCCAAATGCATTTTAGGTAATATAAAGTTCAGCGAAAGGGTAAGATCTATAGTCGAAAAACTTTCCGGTTTCACTACCTCAGTCTTCACATCGATATGTCGGACTGCCAACAAAATACAGTTTGCTTCTCTTATCTGACAAATTAAGTTGAAGCACCACAGAAGAAAGTACAGTTCGTGATTGCGATAAGCCAAAAGGATACATCTGTATGCCACTTATAATTGCTCCAAAAACACCTAGCATCGCCATCACCTCAATCCTGCTGCTTTTCTTTACAATATACTCCTGAAATGTTGTAGGAACAAAACCTTTATTGTATTTTTCACCCATGTACATAAACTTGCGTCGACAGATGAGGTTTTGTTGATACCTCGGTGACATTGCTGACGGCGTAAAGCGAGGCCCCGGCGATGACAAGCATATCACCTTTCAAGGGGCTGGGTCCTTCTGCAGGACATTGCAAGATCATGTAATGTTACCACTATTTTACATGAGTTGGAGTTGTAAGGTACCACCCCCCTCAATTGTGATAGTTGTGCCAGGACTGAGAACTCCCATATGATATTGATGCTCTTACTTGATTTTCGTTCGGAGGCGTGCACGTCGGAGAACACCACCAGCACGACACCGGCCACGCAGATCCCGACGCCGAACAGCTTCCTCAACCCGTACTTCGTCTTGAGGAAGATCCAGGTGAGGAAGAGGACGCAGGGGATCGCCCAGCAGTCCAGGAGCATCACGCTCGTCAGGGACGTGTACTGGTAAGCCTTGACGACTTTTATGAACAGTAAAAAAAATTCAAAACCAATTTCAGCATCTTTAATTATCCATGTGATGAAAAACTACATGAACTGAAATATCATTCATTTCAGTAACGGTAGCTACGTCGGTCGTACCGATGTAGTTAGCCTCCACGTCGACGATGCTGAGGATCAAGTAGTAGTACCATTTCACCTGCAGAAAACAGAATGTGGAGTTCGTTTTCAGGGTTCTGCTGATAGGAACATTCACGATTTTTGCATCGTTGCGTCTCGCCGCAAGGACAGCTTGGCGATGAAGGAACAGCATGAACAACTTGTGAAGAGCAGAATCAGAATACCCATAGCTACCACTGTCCTGGGCAGCAGGGGGGATAAGATGCACTAAACGCGCATCGCACACGCAACAAAAATCAGGGAGACCCACTGGGATTTTTGGAGATTTTACTAGAGAATAAGAGCTGGGTATAGCAAATTATGTATGAAAATTTGAACCAAATTAGCATCGGAGCATCTCTTTTGGACAGTAAAAGGCGGCACCGAGACGTACCGTCAGATGTTGCCCTTTGTAGATCATAATTCCTCCGTAGACAAGCGCGAGGAGGATATAGTTCAGTAGGGACTGCGACGTCGGCGCATTGACGCCTGAAAAAGCAGACATGAGAGTAACAACACTGCAAGCCTCCACTCACAGTTTAACCATCTTCCATTTTTGCTCACAGAGGGAGCAGAGAACAGAAGCAAACGAGCATAAGTGATGAGCCAAATAAATGCTCGTGTTGCACTAGAATTTTTCCTTTTGGGCCGAAACGCATGAGAACACTGGAACCAATATTTTTTCCTTTGGTTCAGACTTTCTTTCAGAGTGGCGTGCTAGAATCCAGTAGGTGTCAGGAGACTATGAATGGTAGCAGAGGCAATTCCCTATCAAGCCAGGTCATAACTAATGCCAAATACCAAGAAAATTCATAACTGGACCAGGCAAAATGGCATTGCGGGGGGACAGCGGAGTAGACGGCGGCGCGCCGGCCGCCGGCCGGGCGTACGTACCTCGGCGTGCGAGCTCGGAGGAGGAGAAGCCGGTGGAGGTGATGAGCAGCGAGACGAACTGCCCGAGCGCGAGGCCCACGAGCACCTCCCGCCGCAGCCACCTCGGCGCCGGCAGCGCCATTGCCGGCTAGCTAGCTAGCTAGCTGGGTTCCTGCCCTGCTCTCGTCCTCGTCGCCAACGTCGCCGTCCGCCCACTCGTGTCGTATAGCAAGCTGATGGCTTAAACAACAAAGCTGCTTGCCATTGGTAGTTGGACTATATGTATGCACACGGACGACTTGGTTAGCGTCTCTGCCTCGTGGGCCCTTGGCGCTGCCTGTGGCACAAAGCCGCCGGTTTTTTGGTTTTGTTCCCACGGATAAAAAGCTCTTTCCGGCAGAGTTCGGGCAAAATCATCTAGTAGTATGTAGTAGTAATTCTTTTGAATATATCACATATAGATATTTACTTTGTATTTCATACGGCTAAATTTCATAGTAAAACAATTTTTTTGTGGATCATCTTGCAATCACAAAAAGTGATATAGTCCAGGAGGGCATAGAAGAATACGAAGTAATTTCTAGTCTCACAAAACTTGCAGGTGCATGCTACACTGTTTTTTAGGATTTTTTGGAACTTGAGAAATATGTTTTTCCAAATTTTCTAACTAACTAAATAGTGCAAGCTAGCCCAGGAGCACAAAATGCACCCTCTTATTACAGAACTGGAACCTTCTTGCTTTTTTAGATGATAGAAAGATCAACCTTGGGCTCTTGCGCCATGCAACGTTTGCAACACAGTTTTATCCAGATAATGCCCATGATATTAGAGCCGGAAACAGATCACCAAATATCAACAAAATGATATTCTTTTGCTCGTCTAAAAAAAGATATTCTTTTGCTGTCATTCTCAGTTATAGTTGCGTTTAGAGTTGTAGGATATTATCTTTTTTCTTGCAGAAAGACGAGATTATGGACTACCGTACATTAGACCCATTGCTATCTGTCATGGCGTCACTGGGTGCTATATTATTTGTTTTAGTAACGGTTTGAGTATCAAGAGAGGGAACCA